ATGTTTGAGTCTGGTTGAATCAGGGGAAATGGGATGAATTCTTTCTTCCCTTTATGCTATCCTTTCTTCACTTGCAAATATCGGATAAAAACCCATGTGGTCAACATGGTTTCTAACCTCACAGTCTACCATCATTACTAACTATATATATACCAAATACTTGGTAAGAATACAGAATTCGCTGTAGTAGGCACATGGCTGCTTGCTGTGCTGAACTAGCTTGCAATCCTTTGGTAAAAGATGAGCCAGTAGGCCTCATAAAGTGAGAAGCATCACACTGGTCAAGTACTAAGAGGCTACAAAGCTGGGAGGCTCTGAGTTTGCCACAAACCATCAAAGAAGACTTCTCAAAGTTGTTCTTTAGGTAGAGAACATTGAAGAATACTCTAATCAAAGTAGATGTCAAACACAAAGGCATGGGGACAAGAAATAGTAGATCTTGTTCTGAACTGTTAAGGTGTTTCAATTGATGGCTGCTTCACATGCACAGGGGATCACCTAAGAGATAAAGATGGAGAAGCTATCTGAGCCATATTGTGACAGGCCTAGTGAACCAAGCCAGGATGCTCTACCCATTGATGAGCTCATGAAGAAAGCTTTTGTACAAGAGAGAAGGATTTGGTTTATTTCCAGAGTTATCACAATATGGTATCTAGAAAGTCTTTGAGTTGTGAGAGGCTAATATAGAAACCATTTAGGAAATTATTATAATAGTCCAAGATTCCAAATGAAGATTTTCTCCAAGATGGAGTCTCTATGAATGGAGTCAGGTATGGAATTGAGATTAGATGTGAAAGGCTAGGGGATGACAGGAATTAATGACCACAGGTTTTCTAGATTGGTAACCAGCTGTCTATACCCTTATCTGAGAGGACTTAAATGGGATATTATCTTAAATAGCCACTTGATAAATGTAAGCAGTTGGAAACCTAGTCTGATTCTCACTAGATAAAGTCTAGGACTGAAAAGAGGGCTGGGAATTGCTAATCACTATCAAACTAGTAGGGATTAGTGAGAGTTCAAATCAAGCAGTGAGTTGTAGACCCATGGAAATAATGTGGAGCAATGAGAGAAGACAGTTGAGGAGAGGCAACCCCAGTGTATATCATCACTTAAGATGCAAGTAGAAGATGAGGAAAGAGTAGACAGAAAGGTAAGAGGAAACCATGGGATTTTACTTTGCTTAAGGAAGGAGCATTAATAATGTCAAGGTGACTAAGGCTAAATCCTTTAGTAAGATACATACTGAAGAGATGTCATAGGTTTTGTCCATTGAAATAGTTATAGTGAGGTTGTTAGGTGCAGAAGACAAACCTAAAGAGTGATAAAACATACAGGTGTCTGGAATTTGTGGTTAAAGAAGGGTGGGAGATAAGAAAACAGTGTGAAGGGAAATTTTTGTTTTTAATGTTGTTAGAGTATATGTCTAAGGTTCATGGGATCAATCATTACCAATTGTATGCTCTTTAGCAATCAGCTTTCCAAAAATCAATATCTTGTGGTCATGTCTATATTAAGAAAGGATAAGCTTTCAATATTATTAATGGTTATATACCATTCCATTCCATAATTTATTTAATCACTTTCCTATCATTAAATATTTTGATTGTATGTATAAATTTGCATGTTTTTCTTGTGTGTGTTTATTTAAATTCTCTTTTTTATTAAATGTATTGGGGTGACATTGGTTAATAAGATCATCTAGATTTCAAGTATAAATTTGCATTTCTTTTTTCAAAATATATTTTATTGATATTTTACAGAGAGGAAGGGAGAGAGAGAGAGAGTTAGAAACATCGATCAGCTAGCTGCCTCGTGCACGCCTCCTACTGGGAATGTGCCCGCAACCAAGGTACATGCCCTTGACCGGAATCGAACCTGGGACCTTTCAGTCCACAGGCTGACACTCTATCCACTGAGCCAAACTGGTTAGGGCAGTGGTTCTCAACCTTCTGGCCCTTTAAATACAGTTCCTCATGTTGTGACCCAACCATAAAATTATTTTTGTTGCTACTTCATAACTGTAATGTTGCTACTGTTATGAATCGTAATGTAAATATCTGATATGCAGGATGGTCTTCAGGTGTCCCCTGTGAAAGGGTCATTTGACCGCCAAAGGGGTCGCGACCCACAGGTTGAGAACCGCTGGGTTAGGGCTAAATTTGCATTTCTAATGCAAATACCTAATGAGGGTGAATTTCTGTGTGTGTGTGTGTGTGTGTGTGTGTTGTGTGTTGTGTGTTTGTGGGTAGGTGTGTTTCAATTAGAGAAAGAGCCTTTTGGGTTGATTTTTAGCAAAATCTATTGAATTTTTAGTATGTGTGATATTCTATATATTGTTTAAGTTCTCCTCTTATATCATTAAATGCTAACAATAGGTACCTATGAGATAGGTGCTATGATTGCACACATCTTAAAATGGAAGTCAACTACAACTTAGAAAATTTAAGTAACTGACTCAAGCTCACAAGGCTAGTTAAGTGAGAATTCAATTTGAATATAGGATACTAAATACTAGATTATAATACTTCCCACGAGTGATGGGGACATTTTTAAAGGCAATGGTAATGAAAGGAAATCATTTATATTTGGAGTGAACAGGATTAGAGAATTGATGGAATCTGGAAGGTGAAGTAGAGGTCAGTTCTGAAAACCAGGGTGGAACTTTGGGAAATGCCTGTGACTTCTCGTTACCAAGTGCCAGCTGTCCTGCTGCCTGTGCCCCCAGTGATGTGTCATGGAAGAGCATGTTAAGGACCCCTTGCAAGCATATCAAACTTGCAGCCGGTGGGCCGCGAGTTTGACATGCTTGGTAGAGA